CCGCTTAGACATCAACAAACATCAATAAGCTTGCGAAATAGAACCTTTGAGTAGCTTAAGCTAGAAATACCTTACCAAGCAATCCTTAGTTTACCGTAATCCTACTTTTAGCCGGTGAAAACATCAGGAGAGTTGTTCCGTATGTGTTATTTTCTGCATTCACTTCCAATATATACTTTATGACCAACGTTTATTGTAATAACAAAGGTATCATGCCCTTTCTTTTTTGTGCGCATAACCTTGAGACGACATAACCATAATTAAGACAAAAACGTCACTTACACACTAGGAACTGTATTTGGTGAGACAGATTGTATTGATGCGAAGTCCCTAATTTCATTTTTTATCAGCTCTTTATTGCTGAGCTGATTCTAGATTACCAAAAATGTGATGTGAACGAAATCATAACAATACTTCAAATTTTATTATTATCTATTATTAATTATTAGTTTCTCATATCTTGTCATATTAAACAACATACATCATTGTGACATTGCATCAATTTGGCTAAAGGTGGTGCGGTGTTCCCACGATCTAAACGGCTGTCACTCTGTTCCACTTTACGGTGTAGACAAAACACTGCAACAGCATCGCGCGGCACGGGGTTGCATCCCTGTCGGGCCCAGAGGCATCTAGCCAACAAGCTCAAACATGTCTGATCGCTTATGCTGGTGCTGATTCATCAAAACCTCCAGTAAGAGAAACTGGTGCAACGGCAGTACCTCTTCCAAGAGCCAGTTCAAGTAAACCGGCTCATGCACTCGACACAAGTGTTCATCCTCAATTATCGGTAGTTGGAATCCCTGCAAGACCCTTTACGTCTGCAGGGATTCCAGACGCCTCCAATTTGCAACAGTCTGCCGACCCGCCGCACCAACATCTAACAGATTGCGTATTATTCAACTAGGGTAGCTCAAACGATAAAAACATTGTCGCAAACTATAATACACAACTGTACTAGTTTATACGATAAAGTCAAAATCTCGTAAATACTATGTAGCCAGAGCACGGACTGCGTAATAGCCTTCAACATGTTTGGTGAAGAAACCATAGCGAAACTAAGAAACGAATTGAGACCCGTTATGGCAGCGGTTATTTTTTTAATATTATAATCATGGAATTGAAAGCTGATCTGCTTGGCTGATCTTGTTTGTGCAGTTAGTCTGATTTGATTACTACTACTTTCACAACAATTCTAATTTTATAGAGAAGCAAAAAAAGCCTAAAACAGGCACGTTTAAACTGATTTTCATTAATTATTATTGAATCTCTGATATTGTCATGAGATATGAGTGGAAAATACTCTGTGATATATTTTCTTTTTTTTGCCCTATTTTTTTTTTATATAGTTAGGGTAACTCAGTATCAGTTCCACATAAACGAGCAAGTACTCTATGCCCTAGCATCGTCTTTTTATATATATACTAAAAACACATTTAATTTCTATATATTTCTTTATTCTATATATTTATTGATACCAGTTCGTTATGTTTAACCGATGGCATGAAGCAAACACGAATATCCTACCATACAATACATATTATATACATTCCATACAACACAGAGTTTGAATTAATTCTACATGTAACTAGTCGTTCAATTAAGTAATCTATATACAGTGTGTAACTTTTTCTCCTACCTCATATTTTGATTGTTACCAATTCAATTTACAACATCTTGAATGCGATGAGCGCTTGATTTGCTGATGCTAAAATCATAAACTTCTTTTAAAGATTTTTCGCTAGAATTCTTTAGTACTTCTTGGCTGATGAAGCTCATCGATCTTTTTGGTCTTACGCAACGTCGTCTACAGATAGTCTGAACGGTACCACCCGGTGTAGACTTATCTTTTATCCGACGAATCGTAGCTTGCCTTGGTTAAACTACCTGAAACTATCTGCAATGTCTACGCACAGATATTCTTATGTCTTCTTCACTTCCAATAGCACTTTTCTTCAAAAATTTACCTTGGTCATCATTCTTCTCAATCATTTTTAATTACACACTGAAAAATCGGATAAAAATATAACCGTTAGATAGCGTTTACATTTCTCTAGGATATTTGTCATTATATTCACTATTAAGGTTTTTATTATTATTAATATTCGAGATATTTAATGTTCGAGAGCTAGAGGAAACACCCGTCAGGAAAAGACGACCCGTTTCGAAGAACTCGCAACGTTTAATTTGCCCTAAGTTGTATTAACCCAATGGCTCTAGAGTGGTGCCATGGGCTTTAAGATTAGGGGTTACCTGAATTCTTCGTACACCTCAGAAAATACATTTTGTATCTACTAATTCTGCCACGAAACGAGCTTAATTTATAGAGCCATCTTGCCAAATTATACATGTAACTCCCTAAAACTTTTTACTATCTTGTTTAAACTATAATGTCTATGCGTAAATGTTTGGAAGTACACTAAAATTATGTCATGTCGATACAAAGCGTTTCGAAGAACCCACACTAAATTTACCTCGCTTTGCATTCGCTTGGTAACCCTCGTGAGGGATCACGAGCTTCAAGCCATCGTAAACAATAGCATTTAATATTTTTCAAGGCTTTAATTTAGAATCTACGAATCTCCTTACTAACGCAACAATTTCTAAACCATGTGTAAGCATTTAGTAATACAATACTTGAGCCTAACGTAGACTAGATTTCTTTCATTCTTGGTTGAAAATATCGACATATTACAAAATATTGACTAAATGACTCAGGCCAATAGACGTATATTACGTATTCAACAGGATTCAACGGAGAAAAAACTAAGCGTTGGCTGTAAAAAAATATACTAAATAATATAAATCGACTACTCCTTACCTTACACTTTATTGCAAGTGGTCATCGAAACTGCCGTTAATCGATAGACCTGTATAATAAAAAAGGAATAGATACTACCGATTATTATATCATTAGATGATCATGTTATAGACCTAACCAATCCATCTCGTCAAGGAAATACACTTAGCCAATGCTTCGCACGTCAGAGAAATGTGAACATGCACCAGCCTTATTTTTAATCGATTTAATCGATAAGTCGATTTTGCTCACCAAAATAATAAAACGCCGAAACTACGAGATAGCAAACAAAGAAATTGGATTCACGCTTTCTGCGCTCACTTGCTTTGCCTGGCCTACGCTCTCGTCAGCTTCTACTGACAAAATGGCTGTCGATATTGTTAACACCCTAACTTACGAATGCTTGAAGCCCATGAGGGCGCTGTGATCGTAGAATAACGAAACAAAGCAGGACGGCGCGCCTTACCGAAATAGAGACCGCTTTTCGTAAGTCCACTCTTACTCTCACATTTATAAATAATCATAATCGACCAGGAATATATTAGATATTAAATTGTACATTAAAAGCACTCACATAGTTGCAGGTACACAAAGTGCTTCGGAACTGGCAGAACTACATTAACTAGTGTGACTTTTCTATATATAGAACTGATAAATATTACTGCATAAGAACCTGATGAACGAAGTTATCATAGACATTTTTATATAATATAATATAATATATAAAAATAATATAACTAGAAATCTATTAGATAGATTTCTAGTCCCATGGCGCACATGCAAAATACTAACTTCCACTTGCAGATCTATTAATAAAGGTCATTAGTATTATTTTTATGACAACAGTTTATAAATATATCACTAAAAGCTAAAGTGTTTTTTGTTTTTAAAAAATATAATACTTACGGATTTGAAGTAATGCTCACAGTTTTTATAATGTTTCTTCGCCCCTTTCCTTCTTCATTGTCATAGGATTTTATTAATCCCAATCTCTCTGAACTGATACGGCCTCAGAGTTTGCATATCTATTCAAACTTCAAAGTTTATTAATCTTAAATCGTATATATATTTTATTACGATCCCGCTTGAACGCAGAGTGAGAAAAGGAACGGGTAATTAAATTGAAGGAAAATGTAAAGATAAAAGTAATCCGATGGCCAGGAGGAAAGCCATGTAATAGGAGATCGGGTGAACGAAATAAAGATGATGTGCTATGGATATGTATATACAGGATACGGCACCTAAACTGGGACAAACGTAGGCGGGCTATTTGTCGCAACGGACAAGCGTTTGCTATTGCCAAGAGAAAACCACTTTTTTTTTTAAAAACAAAATAACAAACTTTTCAAAAAGAAAACAATACTCGTTTTCGAAATATGAGCAGATATCAGTTATCACTCGATCTCTTCGCTTGGGCGAAATGTAACGAAACTAAAAATCTTTGTTTGAAATTAAGAGCCTACGTTACTGTCAGTTTTCGTACGGCTTTTAGAAAAAATCGGAAGATTCTTCTAACCTAGGAAACCGAGAGATCCAATATAGAGTTTAATTTAAATTAAAAAAGTCATCAAAATATATTAAAGTTTTTTTTTTTTCATACACCTGGAGGTGAGGATTTCCTACAGAAAAATAAACGGTCATTTTGAGAGAAGGACATCAATTTCCGCTTAGGTCATCTAGATAAGCTTTAACGGTTAGTTTTTCGGCCTTTTGCACCCTTTAGATTTTCTAGTCGACTTGATCCCTGGCATTTCTCGGGATACTTACCCTATTATTACTTCAAAATTTATTTTCCGTTAGAATTTTAACATAGTGATGATTACATTAATATAGTGAACTAGTGATTTTATATTTGCATGATAACCACAAAAAGTAGTTTGCGGATTAAAATTATTAGAGTGAAATTGAAGCTGTAATTGCGGTGAGTGATGATTATACTGAACACACGTGAGTCTTAGTAATAGCACTTCTAACACATGGAAGAAAAGCAAACAATAGCTAATCTGTCTTCGTTTAGATAAAATTTCAAAAATAACACACAATTTGCGTGCCGTAGCCTATATATATATATA